CTACTCCCTTTATCCCCCCAGTGTTGGGCTCTCCACCAACCTGCAGTCCTTGGCTCACTCTTCCTCTTGCACACATCCCCCCATTCTGGCTTTAGACCTCTTCCTGAAATGTTTTTGGATTCATAAGGTCAAGGGCTTCAGTGATGGCCATCCCTGGACAGTCAAGCTCAGCTCAGATTGGTGACCACAATGGGAGTAATCAAATTGCAGTAAGTGAGAAGACATTCTTCAGTGTCCTTTTCTCCTCCTCGTTACCCATATCAAGCAATTCATCAGATCCTACTGAATTTACTTTCACAGATGTAGCCAGTCGATTCCTCCCTTTGCAATGCTCCTCTCCAATGATCACACTGGATTGTATCATTCAGGATATGCTATCTACCATCTTTTTCTCCGAGTATATTGCTTCACCCTCTCAAATAGCCTCCCTGCACTGGTCCTGTAGCCTGGCTTCTGCACCCTCAGTGCAATGAGAAGTATTACCCTTAAATGTTGTTGCCTTCCTATAACTCAGCTCTGACTCTGCGTCCTTCAGAAAATCTGGTTTTGATTTGCCTCAAGAACCACATGGTTCCATGATCCCTGAAGGATATCTCAGTATTTGCTTTTATTGTCCTTTACTACAAGCATGTATATACGTCCCTCTCTGGCTGAGGGGTCTACTTCCAAGACGGCTTCTTAATGAACATATCTGACATTTAGACGGAGGTGGCTGGAAGGCTGGGTTCAACTGTGATTGTCGACTGGAGTGCCCACGCAGCAATCATGCAAACTACCACTCAGATGTCCTTCAAAAGAACCAGCTGCCAGGAGCAGATGGACAGTGACTGCCTCTTTGGATCCATCCCTGAATTTTCACCAAAGCGCACATCCCACAGGCTCCTGCTAGCCAGTGTGGGGGCATCGGGGTCACATTAGTGCTGGTTCATTCCTGCCTGTTGTGGGCTCTTCCAACGTGCCAGCTTTGCTCTGGGTGTCCCCAGGGGCCCGGTCACCATGCTCTCTGAGCTGAAAGGTGTTCGGAGGGTCTGTGCACTCAGTCCTCCCTTCCTTCCCTCTGTTGACAATCGTAGGACCTGCACTGTTACCCGAAGACATTCCCTGCTTACAATCA